CCCAGCCATTTCCCATTTCTGATGGGACCTCACTGAATTCTCACTGAAACCTCATTTGTTGAGCTGGGTGACAGACATCACAGGATCTGGTCAACACCATAGTCTGGTGCTTCTGACCATGATTCCCTCTAAATAATAAGGTAGAATACCTGCCTCAGGGAATGGGATTTTTTAAAATGACAGCTTTAACATGTTGTATTACATGTTCAACATTTTCTTCACTGACTTACGGTATACAAGGATTATGACCATACTACGGGGGAAGTATTATTAGACATATTTTACCAATGAAGAAATTGAGGCTCAGGAAGTTCAAACCACTTGCCTAAGGATATAGAACTAATAAGTGACAGAAGCAGCACAGTTCGCACCTCTTCCACTCCCGTGACTACTTGTTCTTAGAGAATCACACACACTGTGAGGATGCCAAGAACACAGTGAAAGAAAGCGGTGTTGTGCTCTCACACTTGGGCTCCTCGACGCTTGGGTCACATGTGTTTTTTAAAACCTTTGTTTTAGGAAACATTCTGCGGCAGTCGTTTCTTCAATCTGCATCTGGTTCCGTCAATCTGCATCTGGTTCCGTCACTCTGGCTGCTGCTCGCACATCCCAACAAAGTGCTGCACTGCGAAGGGTTTCACAGGGACTCAAACAACAAAACATCTCTTAAAAAGTGTCCCATAAAGTGCCATATGCAAACATCATGTGTGGCGTGCACATTTTGGGCAGCGGCAGAATGTCTGCTTCCTGTATGGATGCATGGGTGGGTGCACTGGGGGCAGGGATATTTTCAGAGTAGTATGACTGTGTTTAGGGGCAGCTTTAGGTATCCAGGCAAACATGTTGGCCCAACACCTCTTACTCTGGGGAGAACAGATCTACAACAGAAAGGGCTTGTGATAGGACTAGATTCCTTTGTTCTGACCCTGGTAGCCTCGGCACTGCCATTTCATTGTTTCTAAGAAAGGCTCTGCTGGCAAATCAGTCTTAGCACCTGCCAAGAACAGTGTTTTCTTCTAGGGGAACCTTCCCAGCCCCTGGCCTCTGCCAGAGCCTCAGGCTGAGTGGGGCTGGCCAGGTCCTATATCCACTCTCCTTACCTTAGACAAGAAGGAGGAAACTGACTCAAGGACAGCCAGTCCATAGACTGACCAGCAACCTGTAAGGTGGCCAGGCATGGAGTCTCTTTCCTACCACAAGCAGTGTGGTTAACTAGGCCAATCAAGTTCTCATTCTTGGAAATCTCAATTGGAGATTATAGAGAGAACCAGGCAGCTGGCAGAAAGAGAAAACCTCAGACACAAAAAGGGAGACAACAGGAGAGTAATGGGGCCACATTCATGGTGAAACACTCGAAACTGGGAACTCCTGAGATGGATCAGGGAGATGAGGCAGCTCAATGCTTAGAGCGGCCAGGGATCCCAAATGTCCTCCTGACACCTCCCTCTGACGCCTGGCTGGATTTTTGTGTCTACTCTGGTATTACAGTGAGATTTTAGTCTCTTTAATTACATCAGTTAGGATGCTTTGGGCTGCAAGTAACACCAAACCCAACTAAAAGCAGTCTTCATAAGAAAAATAAGTCATCTCACTTAACAAGACAATCCTAAGCATTTCCCCCACTCCCTGGGTTGGCTAATTTAGTGGCTCAACAATGTCATGAAGATCCAGATGTTTCCTGAATTTCTTCTCATCACCCTCTATTTTGCTTGTCCTTCTAGCCTACTTTTTCTCATGGTATCAGAAGCCTGCAAAAGTTCCAGGCAATGACATCCAGAGATGAAAAAGGGAAAAAAGCGAATGCACCTTTCCTGTGCCTCTTTTAAAGCAAAAGGAAAATGCCCCACCAACTCCCCAGCAAGCTTCTCCCACATCTCATTGGTCAGAACTGCACCCTCTACCCATTCCTAAATCAATCACTGGTGCCAGCAGGGAGGAATGCAGCCACCTGAAGCACAGGGTAGCTCTATCCTTTAACCCAGTCAATGTCAGCCCTCTGTTAGCTAGGGAGAAGGCAAACAGCAGTGTCTGCTCCACTTACTACCCTATCTACTGAACAATAGAGCTCCATTTCATGAGATGACCTGGTTACATCTGTTTCCTTCAACTCAGAGAGTTGGCTAATACCCAGATCAGACTTAGCAAGTTGAAGACATGATCTTCAGTAGGTACTCTTAGACAGTAGTTGAGAGCTGAGTGGTCATGTAAATACAATATTATATGGAGCCCTAAAGTTTCCATCGCTTTGTAATATTTTATGGGGCCCCAAACACACACAACAGAGACTCTAAGGAATGAACCTATCACACCACTCCTAACTCTGGGCTTCCCAGTTCATTTCTTGCCTCCCTGGGCCTCCTAAGCAGTGATGGCATTCTGTCTTTTGATGCAGGGCTTGCTTCGAGCTGATACATAGGCTTTTCTGGGACAGTGGTTTTCAAAACTTCTTCATGCATCAGACAATCTCTTCAAAGGGCTCCTTAAAAATTGCTGGGCTCAAAAGGACAACATATGAAGCTTAGGAGTGAAGGGACTTCCTGAGCAGAAATGGGCCAACTTCAGTCTTTTTACTGTGTCTTTGCAGTATTCTATAGATAATTTCCTTAATTGGTAAATTTCGTGACCATTACCTAGTGATCATTTAATGGGCAGCGATTCTAATGGTATAAAGTCCACAATGTTCTATGTCCCTAGCCTGTCATTTTTCAGCTGCGTGTAAAAGGGGGTAGGATGAGATAATCGATCATTATAAAGATTTAACTATTTTATGCTGAAGCAGCCATATTTTCAAGCGATGAAACCATCTCGCACACAACAATGAAGGTACTCGGCCATAGACTTGGAATGAGACCATATATGGGGATGAGATCCTTCTGGTTAGCCTAATACTGCTGTACTGGCCTGTAAATGGGGTCCTTCTGCTGAGGTCTTGCAAGGCAAGCCGGCTGTGCCATGTTTTTAGACGGGGCAGAGGAAGCTAGAATAATGGAAAAGTAACCTATTTATGCTAGGTCTAGCTATTGAAACAAGGTAGGAATGAGGCTAGTGTCCTTAACTTCCCTAAGGCATACTTTTCTGGCTACCTTCTGCCCTGTGTCTGGTACCCATATCCTTGATGATTGTTCTCTCTGATCCATTCTATATATATATATATAAATTGCTGGGCTGGCTCTACCTCAAAGCTTCTGATCCAGTAGGCCTAGGAGGGGGCAGCTAAGATGCATTTCTTACTAGTTCCCAGGTGATGCTTCTGCTGCTAGTCTGGGCACCATACTTTGAGAATCACAGCTCTAGGGCTAGGGGTGCTAATCTTCATTCCGAATGGAAGGGAGGCTGCTAAGGAGTCCACTTAAGTAATTTTTCCTGCGATAAAGACTTGCTTCCTTGTCACTTGCTGTCAACACCCCTCCACACAGCAGCGACTGCCTGGCTTAATTCTTAAACTAGAGGCCCCTCAATAGATAGGGTGGACACTTCCTCGCCTCCTGGCAGGAGAGAGAAAGAAGGGACTTCAATCTTTGGTTGGCAGAGCCTGACTAGGCAGCCGGGCACAGAACCTAGGGCTTTCCCACCCCTTTGCTTTCTCACCTGTAAAACAAATAAAGGTACTGGTCCTGCCAGCTTCACAGGTCGCTGTACATAGAGGAACGGTTGGTTGAAAGTGCCCTGCATAACGGAAAGTTCTTTAGGACTCGCAAACAGCTTTAATCGCGGTAAGGGGGCACATCAGGGCTGTTTGAGCCCCCCTTTAGGGCTCGGCACAGGTGATTCTGGGCTCCCTGTGCTTGCCAACCTCCTAAAGCAGGTGCCCACTTTCAGCAGGTCTGCACGCCCCACCTGGGGGCCTCTGCTGGAGGTCTGCCTGGCCCCGGGCACACGTGTGCGCGCGAGGATTTCTTTTGCAGAGAATGAAACCACCGTTACTTTCCGTTCGCGGTCTACTCCGGGGTCCCCATCCCTCGTAAGTGCTGTGGAACCCCGAGGTGATGAGCCCGGGGGAAGCCAGCATCTCATGCCCTCCAGTGCCGGCGGCCGGGAGAGCCCCGGGACTCGGAGTTTTTGCCGCCGCTGAGGACGCGGAGCGGACTGGTGGCCGCGTCGCCGAGGGAGGGCCCCGGGCCGCCCTGCAGCGCGTCTTCGCGGAGCCCTGGGGGCCGTGCCGCTCCTCCCAACATGATTCAGAACCGCCCGTCAGCCTTGGCTCCAGCGCCTGGCGCGAGCGAACCGGGCTTGGCTGCCTCGGCCCCGTCTGAACCCTGTGGGCCGCGGGCCAGGGCGGGCCGGGATCTGCCGAGCCAGGACCTTGCAGACCCGGCCGCGGCCGGGCTGAGTGCCTCCCGCCGGGGCCTCACGCCCACGGTCCACGCTTGCAACACCAGGGCTGCACGGCGGGGTCCGCAGCTGGGTCTGCGCCTGGGACTCCGGGCTCCCTGTGCTCCTCGTGCCGCACCCCTTGCCTTAACACCAAGCGGATGGATCCTGGGGCGTCACCGGCCAGGCCGGAGCCCCAGACCCACAGCTCTCCCCCTCCCCCGGCACTGCCCCCCTGCGCTGGGGCGGGAGTCGGGGACTGGGGCCGGAGAAAGGAGACGTGCCGGTCCTCAAGTCTCTTGAACCATTTCGGGTCTGGGCGCGCCCCACAGGGCTCCAGTAGCGCAAAGTTCCAGATACGTGCAGCTGTGTGGTGCCAGGCTTCCAGCGGGTTCTTGGTGGGGGCTCCCTCTCTGTGAGTCCGTGGGCAGAGATTTGCCTTGGAGGGTCGCACCTGGCTACAGAAGTATAAGACTTAGTTTCCGGGGAGCAGAGGGGCCTTGGGATAAGGAACTGAAGCTTCTGGGGGTAGTTTGGAATCTTGGTTCCACCAATTATTAGCTGTCCAACCTGGAGAAATCCACTCCCCCTGTTTTCTTGGTTATAAATAACTATAGCTACCATTTGAATGCTTATTATTTTCCATGTACTTTACATATGTTATTTTTATCTTTCCAACGATTTTGCAGGCCATATTCTGCTGATGGAGAAATGGGATCTCAGCCAGGGAAAATGACTTGCCAAGGTTACACCACTGGTAAGTGGAGACCTATGACTTGAACCTGTCTCTAACTCCAGAGACTGTAGTTTCTCTGTAAGTGAGAATACTGACGCCATACAAAGAATTTTAAAACTGTAAGATGGTGACAGATACCATTCTCTTCTGACCTGTCCTCAGGCCAGGTCCTGAAGTCCAGGTTGAAAGCATGACCTTTCTTTCTCCCTATCTCCTCAACCACGCTTCCCTAGGAGGGTCAGAGTGCAAGAGGTAGGGTCTGGGACTGGGGACCCCTGGGTCAGCCTTGCCCGCCACTCCCACCTGGACCCTTCCCATCCTCATTTCTACCCCACACTGCTCAATGTCCTTGAGAGACAAGGTGGTGTCACTGTTGTGGCATTTCTCCTCCACTATCAGTTGCACAAGAGGATTTTTCTCCTGTGCTCAGAGTGGGAAGAAGACCAAGAAGGTCTGTACAGTAACTTGAGACCCCTAGGGCCCAGTTTGGGCTCTTAGGAGGCCAGCAGTGCCTCAACTTTCTCATCTGTGTTTAGAATTCACTTTGCAGAGAAAATGGGTGGACTCTTGGGGAGAGGAGGGCCTGAGTGTCAGAGAAATTTGGGTACCAGTCTTTTGTAAAATGGAATCTATTGATAATGCCACCACCAGTCTTACCTGACCCCACAAGAGTTGCAGTAAGAACTCAAAATGGATAATGGCCACACAGTGCTCTGGGAAATGCGAAGTGCCTCATAAACATAAGGTGGTATTATTCGCAGAAGCCACTGCAGGCAACAGGAATACAAAGATGAATGCCATCTTGGAATCTTTCAGGCTAGCAGGGGAAATATGAATGGCTATACAAAGAGTTAAAATATAAAACAGGGCATGCAAATGCTCCACCAATATGCCCACGTGGTGCCAACTCATACTGATTTTGTAATAACAAAGAATAGACACAGGTCTATCTGGGTACCTCTACTACTATTGCAAGAACTCCTTCTCTTCACAATAGCTCTAGCCAATCTGTCTCCCCTCTCCAATTAGCCTCCTTCTTACCACCTGTGTGATCTGTGGCAGGATTTTTTTTTTCCCTTTGGGGTGTGTTTGTATTAGTTCCCTATTGCTGCTGTGATAGATAACCACACACATAGTGGCTTAAAACAACACTTTTGTTATCTTACAGTTCTGTATGTAAGAAGTCCAAAATGTGTCTCACCGGGCTAAAATCAAGGTGTCAGCAGGACTGTTCCCTGTTCCTTCTGGAGGCACTGGGGGAGACTCTGTTTCCTTGACGTCTCCAGATTTTTGAGACCACTTGCATTCCTTGGTCTGTGGCCCCTTCTCCGTCTTCAAAGCTATCAGTGACCAGCTGAGTCTTTCTCACATTGAATCACTGCCACCTCTGCTTCTGTGGACATGTCTTCTCTGCCTAACACTCTTTTCTCCCCATCTCAAGACTCTTAATATAATTATATCTTTAAAGTTCCTTTTGCTTTGTAAGGCAGCAGTTTCACAGGTTCCAGGGATTAGGACCTGGAGGGAGGGGGAGGGAGCATTTATCAAAACAACAAAAACCCTAGGGCCTCAAACAAAACATTTTTTAAAAGAGAAATATAAAAGGTTCAACTCTTCTTCTTCAAAGAAGTAACACATAAACTTTTTCTATAAATGTAACAAATTCTGAAAAAAAAGACAAAAATAAAAACTTTCAGTTCCTAACTACACCCATAAAAAATCAGACTCCCTGGTGTCAGGGAAGAAGAAACAATAGGTGACACCAAATAGACTCCACATAAAAGGGTAGGGAAAGGCTCCCTAGGTTGGGAAGTTATAATATGTGCTTCACTGGGAATGTAGGTAGAGCCCTTGGAAATGATTAGTTGTTAACAATTGTCCACAGCTCTTCAGCTGCTTTACTTTATAATCCTTTGGTGCAGTAGACATCGAAAACATTTTTTTTTTAAAGAAATCAATAAACTGTATTTTTTAGAAAAATTTTAGTTCACAGCCATATTGAGCAGAAAGTAGAGTTCCCTGTCCCTACACCCTCCTCCCACTTAAACCATTTTAAAAGCATTAATAGAATTCTTGGCTCCTTATTTTCCCCCCCAAAAGAAATTCCTACATAAAAAAATAAAAATCGTGCTGCTCTGGTTCAAGTGAACTCACGGAGTCCCTCAACCTCTATAAATCCTACTGCATGGTTTAACACTGTGGAATAATGAGAATAACTCAAGTTAGAAAGTATCCTCTGGACCACAGAAGTAGGGAGACTGTCATGTTGAAAATTATTCTCCAGGCTTCAGAAGCAAGAATTGTCATAATATTCTCCGAAGAATTGGAAAAGAGCAGGCTCTTGTTCTGAGGTAGAAGCATAGACTCTTCTAGGCCATAAATCTGCTTATTTTAGTTACAATAGTGAAAGGGCCAGTGGGCAGCACGGTGAAAAGTACATGGGCCCAGAAATTGGGGAGTCGGACGGGGTAGCTCTGATGTAGGGGAACATATTAATTAAGACCTAGTGTGGGCCTTTCGTATTCTGGGTCAGATAGGTAAGGTTCTGTGTGGGCTACCCTGGAATACAGTGTTGCCTAGGGTTGTGTGAGAGGTGCAGGGAACGCCTAGGAAACTTTGCAGGGAGAATGTTTTCTAAGCCAACACCTAGAAGACAAGCAAGAGTTTGCTAGGCAGAGAGTGAAGCTGGGCGCGGTTGGGATCATGGGGCCGGATGTGCACAGCTGGGACAAGGGGAAGAGCTGCAGTGGAGAGTGGGGTATAGTGGAGAGCAATCAGGGCCAGACTACGCTGGAGGGCCTGGAGGCCTTGGGAGCGGGGACTTTCTCCAAGAGTGGGGGTGCCAGGACAGGGTCCCAAGCAGGGGCCCAACGTGGCCTGGTTTGCTCTTCACTGGCAAGCTCCATGGCCCTGAGCAATGTGCTTCTCCTGTTTTTCTTCTCATCGGTGCCTGCCTGAGCTCTCGAGTCGTTTCCTGCTCTGAGCCTGAAACTTCAAGCAGCAAGAGGACGGTCCACAGTCCCGTTACTGGGGCTCTGCAAACGCGACGTTCCCAATGGCCCTCTCCCAGGTTCCGGGCCTCCGGGTATTGGAACTTCTGTCTATAAAGGATGAAGACGACCTTGCTCACACTGCAGCGGGATGGAGAAACGTGACCCAGCGGAGAGGCTTTCGGCTGCGGGGTGCGAGAGGCGACCCGAAGGGTGAAGGCAGGGCGAGCGCGGTCAGCGCCCCCAGCTGGGCGGCCTCCCCGCCGGCCGGGGAATTCGTTCCCAGCTCCAGCCGCATCTCACCCTCTATCGCGCCTCTCGGGCCTCAGAGGGAGGCTGCACGGCCCGGAGGAGGCCTGAAATCCGCCTTTTGTTCCCTCCCGGGACCGCAGAGCCACAGCACGCTGAGCGCTGCAGTCTGGGCAGCCGGAAGCGCTGGCCGGGCGCCGGGCCAGCGATCGCCCCGGGTCTGCGCAGGCGCAGGTCGAGGAAGCCGGGTGCGGTCGGATTTCTGCGGCCCGTGGCTGCCCTCTCGTGGCCGCGAGGCGCCATGGTACGGCTGCTTCCGCGCAGCGGAGGGGCGCTGGCCGGGAGGCTGCGGGTCCGGACCGGCCAGCCGGGGAGGCCAGCCAAGCGCTGTGTTTTTCCAGGTCCGCGCGGGCCAGGGGAGCCCTGCGTGTTTACTTGGTGGGAGTGGTTTACTGGGAAAGTAGACGGAAGGTACCCTGCAAATCGGCATGCACTGTATTGTTTGGGAGTCAACAGCCTGGAAAGCAAATATCAGGTGAGGGCAGTGCTGGGAACCACCGCCTGCCCCCTCCCCTGGCCTTGGCCTTGACTTTGAACGCGGCACCGCGAGCCAAACAGCTCCGCGGCTCAGGGGAGAGGGAGGAGGAGGAGGCAGGCAGCGGGGGAGGTGTCAAGACTCAGGAATAGGAGCCAGCTAGGCCCAACCTACGACTACCACCCCAGGGGCTGCAAACAGAAAATACACCCCTTCTGCCCACCTCAGGAAGACATCGTACACCCCGACAAGTCACCATTCCAGAGAGGCTAGCTTTCCGCAAGGGTGGGGGCGTGAGAGTGGAGGGGTTGCTCGGGGCCCACCCTGGCATAACTATCTGAAGGGCACACCCCACAACGGAAGGATTAGGTGAGAGGGGTGAACCCACACTCTGGCACGAGAATCATGTGTCCTGTTCCACGCAGGGAGCCGCACTACACAGAGTTCTCTTTAAATTCATCTTCACTAGCTGGGTGTGCCTGAGGCTTCTCCTATCTCCTGATTCTGAGTTAACTTTTTGCGTCCCACCCTGTTCTTGTCTCAAGCAGTCGCTTTGGAATGTGTTTCCTCTTGTCCGGGGTTTGAAGATTAGTCATGAAAAACTCCACTGTGCCCTTGCTGAAGTGCTTGCTGGCTGCTCGATCATTCCACTTCTACGTCCCAAGAAGGTCTGCTAAGGAGATGGCTTCTTCAGGGCTTCCCTCTTTTCCATGCGCTCTCAGCTCCAGACTCCGTCTCATCCGTGGATATTATCCTGTGCCCCGCGGGGAGGAGGGCGGGGGAGGGTTTCTGTGCCTGGATTATCGGTGGGAGGAGAGCAAGTGCAGAAGTGAAGCTATGACTCTCGCAGAAGTCATGCATTCCGTTCAAAGATATTCCTTTCCGTAGCCTCCACACATTCCCTCTGGCTGCAGGCCTCTGGATTTTTCCGTGTGACTCGGTCACATTGCATCTGTATAGATTATCAAAGCACCTCATGACTGTGGAAGAAGAAGTTGGGGACAGAACATGGATCTGGAAGGCTCACAGCATGGACTTGGTAGGGTGACACAATGTCCCATGTTCTTCAAGAAATGTCTAGACTAGGTGATTGATTCTATCAGAGATCTGGCACGATGCTCTTGCCACACAGAGGGGCAAATTTAGATCCAGAGAGAAGTGACTGGTCCAGGTCACTCAGCCAGCTGGTGACTGAGCTGGAATTCATTCCCAGGTCTCCTGACACCCAGTTCATTCATTTTTTGCACATGTTTCCTGAGGACTTACTGTATGCTAGGCACTGTTGTAGGTGCTAGGAATATATAAAGTGCCTGTATGGAGCCTGTGTCTTGTAATGTGTATGTGGGGAGATTGTGGATAAACAAATAAACAGATTTATCCAGAATGCCACATGGTTAAAAGTTTTTATGATACTCAGTGCCTCTTTTCCTCTTGTTTTTGAAGGGAATGGGTTCGAGGCTTGAGAAGAGATGTTCACTCACACATTGGGTCATTAAATAAACATTAGAGGATGCCCCACTATGTGCCGGATGCTGTGCAGGGCACACAGACATAAAGGCAGGGTCTGTCTTCAAAAGCTGCCACCAGCTGGGCAGATAAGGTATGCCTCTTAGTATCTTTATATGGATTTCTGTAATTTTTATGCTAATTGTTTTTCTCTCCAGATCTCTCCCAAAAAGGATGCTTGTAGAAAACGATAATTCTGAAATGGTACAAATTCCTTTCCCAAAAGGCATCTCAAAGCCAGCCGCTGCTACTGACTTATTGATGGCTATCATCCAGTGGCCTTGGGGAGGCGGTGGGCAGCCCAACCACTGCCTGTAATAAGGAGAGACAACTCAGCATCCGCCCTGCAGTGAATAATAGAACAAAAAGCTGCCGGCGCCTGCAGGATCAAAGCACATGAGCAATCACAGTGTCTCTGGGTTCAACAGATCAGCGAAGGACAGGCAGTCAGCAGATGTCATGGAACTTTTGTGGGGAGAAGTGTGGGTTGTGGAGGAAGCCTCAGCTGGATTTCAGTACCTTAGAAGATGCTCTTCTGTGGCTCTCTCCTGCTAACCTTCCTTGGACATGAAATACTCTTCCTTCTATCCTCCCTCTTCACCACTGCTGTTCCCAAAGTCTAAAAAGATGGGGGCAGGAGGTGAGGCAGGAGGGGATGGGAAAAGAATACTGCACCAGGAGGCAGGAGACACTGGATCTGTGGGTGTAGGCAATGCTGAATGACTTCCATGTCCTCAGTCTCGCCATCTGTAAAATGGGAAGGTTGATATATGGCCTCAAACTTTCTGCCCACTTTGATAAACCATATTTCACCAAAAAGAGGCAGAGGGGATCTGTTGCTTTTCAGGTTCCTGTCCAGTTACTTCTAGGTCAGACAGAATGATTGCCCCAATGATTCTGGGTCTGCAAACTCCGTCTGTGAACCCCCATTTCTTGGGGGCGTTGGGATCAGGACAGGCAAGAAGACTATATTATTCCCTTCTCCTACTTGCTCCCACTTGCCAGTGGGGAAATCAGTGGCAACCTTAGAGTAATTTTGAAGGGGCTGGGGGATGAGTTATTATTGGGATTTTTATCTGCAAAGAATATTTTCAGATATTAATGTTTGTGCCTTTAAATGTACATGCAGTTCTAGAGCAGAAGACCCTAGTGGTTGCGGGGCTGTGAGGCATTTTGCATATATTTATCTCACTCAAGAAGAACTGTGGGGTCCATGTGAAAGTAAGTATGTGTGTGTGTGTATGTGTGTGCATGCCCTGAGTCAGCCTGAGTCCTGAGCCTTTTGTCTTTGCTCCTGACTAAGCCATTGGGAGAGGTAAGTATATAATTGGAGGAAGAAATCTGTCAGGAAATAACTTTTTTACTTGTGGAAAGTCATTGAAAACCCTTGCTTTTGTATATGAGCACAGCACCCTGTAGGCAGGTGAGGAGTCTTAGAACAGAGCAGGGAGCAAACCAGACTAGTACCAAAGAAACCTCCATGTTTGATATAAACCTAATGCACAGGTCCACACAGACAGAGCGTGGAGGTGTGCTCCGCAGGGGCACCGCACAGACCCATGTGATGGCAATCCCGGACACGTGTACAACTAAACATCCTCACAGATACATTTTAGTGTAGGCGGAGACCTGATGTTATGGGTTAGACTATGTCCCCCCACAGAATATGTGTACTGAAGTCATCTTTCAGTACATGTGACTGAGATCTTATTTGGAAATAGGGTCTTTGCAGATGTAAACTGGTTAAGATAATAAAAAATAATAAAATAAAATAAATTTTAAAAACTAAAGGTAATGGCAACAATAAAAAAAAAAAAAAAGAGTAAGTCATGCTGGGATAGGGTGGGAGAGCCCTAATTCAATGTGACTGGTGTCCTCGAAAGAAGAGGGGAATTTGGACACAGAGACACAGAAGGAAGATGGCTACAGGGGAATGGAGGTAGAGATTGGAGTTATGTGGCCACAAGGGAAGGAACTCCTGGGGCTCCCAGAAGCTGGAAGAAACAAGGATCCTTTCCCTATGGGCTTTGGAGGGAGCATGGATCTGCAACACCTTGGCTTTGGACTTCTAACTCCAAAAGTGTAAGAGAATAAATTTCTGTGATCTCATACTCAGTTCATGGTGCTATATGGTGATAGCCCTAGAAACTAAGACACCCAGGTATGTTGGATGTATGCATCAGGCCCACATTCAGGGTGCACAGGGCCTTTGGTAAACAACAACAACAACAACAACAACAACAACTCTCATTTCTGTGGAGAATCCATTGCCAGTGGTCTGGATGGCATGGCCACTGCCCTTCTTCAGGGACGTGCACAAGACCCCGGCCTGGCCAATCAGAATACCTCATGCCCTGGACCACAATAATTGGATCGGGGTGGTCAAGATTTACATAAATGATTTACATAAAATGTTTAAATATTTTCTTAAAGTACTTAAAATAAAAAATGCGTTTAAAATTTCAGTTGCCAATTGTTTTTTGCGACTATATAGAAATACAATTGATTTTCACATATTGGTTTTGTTTCCTGTATGCTTGCTAAATTCATGCATTAGTGGTATTTTCTAGATTTCTTAGAATTTTCTGTGTACACAAATCACAACATCTGTGAATATACACAATATTACTTCTTCTTTTCCAAAACTTATGCTTTTCACTTATTGCTCTTGCCTTCTTGCACTAGGTAGAACCTCAGTTGTATATTAAATATATGTTTTAAAAAGGTAGACATTTGAGCCTTGTTTCCAATCTTGGGAATACACTATTCAGTCTTTTGCCCTTGTCTGCTTCTAAGCTGCCAAAGTCTGTGCTATTGTGGGGAAATGTCGCTCTGTGGGCCAGCCATGGTGTGAGTGTGCAGATGGGACAGCGGCAGCGGGTACATTCTCCTGGGAAGGCCAGGCCTGGTGGCAGGCACCTGTAATCCCTGCTATTTGGGAGGCTGAGGCCGGAGGATGGCTTGAGTCTGGGAGTTCGAGTCCAGCCTGAGCCACACAGCGAGACACTGTCCCTTAAAACAAAAAATAAAAAAACAAAACCAACAACTCCCACGCCTGTCAAATTTTCCTGGGGAGGGCAAGACACAATTAAGAAAATGAACACTGAATTTATGTCATCCTTGTCTGTATCTCAGTAGCCACAGTTGTGGATTCCTTCAGTTCTCTCTTGGTAGAAGGTCGGGCCTGAATAAATGATGACATAAAGCCAACTGAACTTACTGAGCAGTCTCCCAGATGCTGCAAACTCAAGGAGGCTTCTGTGCTCAGATTTTTATTCTCTCTCTCTCTCTCTCTGTCTTTCTCTCTCTCTCGTGCAGCATTTATGCTTTTTGGCAGTTCTTTCCTCTTCATTTCCCCATCTTTCCAATTACACACTTATATACACACAAACACTGCGATACCCTCAAACCACCAGAAGCCACATCAGAGACTTGAGAGCCTTGGACCAGGAACTGATGGAGACAAAGACGACCTAGGAATGATTGCTTGCTCTACCCTCAGGAGTTTACAATTACTGATAGAGACAGAAGCCTTTACAGGGGGTGAGGGGTGGGGGGATAGCAGAAACTTTACAAACACACCTGTCAGCACACACAAGGACAATAACAGGAAAGGGGGTTTTCATACAAGGGAAGCATCTGGAAACTGAGAGGGTCCTACAAAGCTGTATAATCCAGCATCTGTTGAGATGCAGGAGACCGCCCTAGCTCCCAGTCCTTCCTTGATAAACACCTTGAATTTACAAGATGAAGTTTGAGAATGGGGAGGAGATGCCAATTATAGCCTATATTAATGAGGCTATAAAGTAAATACTTTTAGCCTCATATTACTAAGCATGAAGGGAATATTTTGACAAATCTAAGTGGAAAGTCCAGAGAGTAGGTGTGGCTTTAGGCATGGCTGGGTAGTAGCATAAGACTCACATCCTACCAGTTAGCAACCAACCCCAGGAAGAATAAAGGTCCTTCCCCACCAGCTTTGGCAGAAAAGTCCTCTAGGAAGAGCTGATTATCTGGGTTTGGGTCACATGACCACCCCAACCCAATCACTGTGACCAAGGGCATGAGGTATTCTGATTGGTCAGGCAAGGGTCTTGTGCACATCCCTGAAAAGGGGCAGCGGCCATGCCATCCAGACCACTGGCAATAGATTCCCCACAGAAATCTTTTACTAGAAGAAGTGGGGAGATCAGTTCTGGACAGGCAGCACAATTGCAGCCTATGACACCCTCTAAGCCTTAACTCCATGTATGACTGTATGGAGCAAATGACTTATCCTCATGATACATGTTTCTTCATCTGAAAGAGGGGTCATAGTTTTGATTTATGTTATATTTACACAATGCATAGCATGAAGCCGATGGTCAAGAATGCACCCTGAGATGTTAGTGGGTATTCCATTACTGGATCCCATGGTACAGACATTTCCTTTGTAGAAAGCCACAGAGTAAGTGGCTCCATTCCCTGAGACTCAATACCCAGTGGCCAACTGGGGTAATAGATTACTGTCCTTGGAAAGGCACAGAGCTCACCAGAAAGAGCAGGCAGGCCGGGCGCAGTGGCTCCTGCCTGTAATCTCAGCACTTTGGGAGGGTGAGGCAGGCGGATCATGAGGTCAAGAGATCAAGACCATCCTAGCCAACATAGTGAAACCCTGTCTCTACTAAAAAATACAAAAATTAGCTGGGCATGGTGGCAGGCACCTGCGGTCCCAGCTACTTGGGAGGTTGAGGAAGGAGAATCGCTTGAACCCGGGAAGTGGAGGTTGCAGGGAGCTGAGATCATGCCACTGCATTCCAGCCTAGTGACAGAGTGAGACTTGGTCTCACCAAAAAAAAAAAAAAGGCAGGCAGCAGGGATTCTCAACCCCTCTCCTTCTTTCTCCATGCATGGGATGCCATGATCACATGCTTGTAGCTCACAGCATGGTCCCTGAGGACACAAAGACAGGTGTCAGGTAGGTGAGTCTTGGGACATGCACTATGTGGCCTTCTTTTCCCCAGCTACTCCCGTCCCAACTCAATCACAAATAAGATTAGAGAAAGCCACAGAAGGCAGCATTCAGAAATGTAAAAGATAAACATGCATGGGGTAATTGAATAGCATTCTGCTGAAAAATGAGCTCTCAGAGCCCATAATCGAGGCTATGCTTTAATGGAGGGGCTCTCCCCGTCTCTCTTTGCAAACCCAGGATGCCAGCAGCTTTAACTCTTTGGGAGGGCTGCACTAGGGAAGGGCAGGCTTTGGCTTTGTGAGGACTATCTGAGGAGTTGTGGGAAAAGTCCGATGGTGGAATGAGGCATCGATGTTAGAGGGAGCCCCTTGTTTAAGCTGAGGATGGAGAAGAGGGATAGGTCCTGTGATTGCCAAGGGCCCATCAGCTCTGAGATTCTGATTCTACCATTATGATTTTTCAGATTCAACCATCAGAGATCTGCTGAGAGTGTACTGTCTATCTTGTCAGCACTAGGCTCCGCATTGTGGAATAAACATACAAATAATGAGAATACAGCAAATAGTTTATCTAGCATTCAGTGTGTGCCAAGCACTATTTTAAGTGCTTTACATATAAGAACTAATTTGATCCTCACAGCAGCCACAGGAGGTAAGTTCTATTATTGTCCTAATTCGACCATCAAAGAAACTGAGGCAGAGTTTAAGTAACACCGAAGTTCATATGCTAGTAAGGAGAGGAGCAGGATTTAGACTCAGGGACAGGAGAAAGAATATGATATGCATATTTAAGTCTAAAAATATGATAACACAATCCCTGCTCACTTGAATTCACCATCTCGAGGGGAGCAAGATGTCTTAAGGTTTGAAAACAAAAGTACATATGAGACCCAGAGTGGAAGGGCTGTCAGGGGCCTTTTTGTCAATCCCCTGCCTCTAAGGCCCAGCCTTTCTCAGTACCCTTGGTAATAGCTGAGGACGGATGTTGCCCTTGGAACCATTACTCACGAACATGCTGCACACCCTTACTCCCCCAAACCCACCTACCTCTTCCTTTTTCTCCCTTTCTCTGGTTATTGTAATTATTTGGGAATTTGCAGAATAATCCGTCACGAAGTCCTCCTGAACAAATTGAATGTCAGGTTTATAAAACAACCTAATAAAGCAGATGGCATTACCCGCTGGTAAATCTCTTCCCTGTTTCCCGCCCCACCCCCTCCCCACTTCAGTGTCTCAGAAAGCTGACAGATTATCCATTTACAGCCAGATTAATCCTGAACAGTATAAACATGGGGAGAAAATTACACTTTCTTGTCTCCATAATTGATAAGAAGGATGCATTAATCTATAAAGCCCGGAGGAAAGGCCCATCTGTCTGCCCAGACAATCGTGGGGATGTCTGGGAAAGGAGACCCTTCCATCTCCCTGTCTGTCTGCCTTTTCGTCAGAAACCACTTTTTCAGAAGCTGCCCTCCCCTTCCCTGGCCCCAGAAACTGGGCACCTGTAACCTTCGACAGCCCCTTGGTCCCGCGCAGGAGCTAGCAAGGTTCAAGGACCCACATCTCAGGATTCCAGGCCAGGGACAGGCCTCTCTCCAGCTTTTGTCTTCTTTCCAGAAGTTATGTCCATTGCAGAGACGTCCACAAGCCCAGCTCTGCAGTCTTCCTAAGCTTGCCTTTGGTTTCCTCGGACCAGCCCTTGAGGAGATTCCAAGCCAAATTTGTTCAGTAAGATTCTCATTCAATTCCCTCCCTGATCTCTCTTGTTGCTTTATAACTTTTTGCAAATTTACG